GAAAAGGACACAGGATACGGACGTCAGTGGCCGCACTGGCTTTAATTTATTTAATTACAGCCACCCGTATATTGCTCCTTCTGGCTTTTTATTTTTAGTCGTCTGATTCTCCTCTGTATTTTTTTATTTAATGTGACATAATACGAGACAAGACGAATGAAATGGCTAAATTGCAATTTAAGCGTCTGCATTTTTAATTCTCCATTTGCGAAGTTAAATACGTACTACGTGACATAATAATAATGTCCTTCAGACCGAATTTCCGTCACGACGGCCAGTCTCCACGGTGACTAGTCATTTGCGCAGTTGCACTCTCTATTCCCTCACTCTCATATTCCGATGGGACGGTAATGCTATACGATCGGAGAGAGATCAGATGCAAGAACGATTGCTTTACGTGCTTTCCTGGGCACGGGGGTGAACCACCTGACTGACTGACTCGCCCAGCCTTGACCCGACCCCGTATTAGAATCAGGGACCTCATGATCAGACAAAATAGAATAACTATCATAACATTCTATGAATGCTTAAGGTTTTGTGCCGCTACAGAGAACAACGACAACGCAGAAACAGGGAAGCCACATTGCACAAGGCCAACTTATTTTATACCGCTAAATCCCTGAAATCATACAAAATCAAATCTTATTTTACAAACCAAGGCTGTGAGATTCTGAAGCGAGATGTTTTTACAGGGATATATCGGTTGGTGATTCAAAAGCTGGAAGTTACTTTGGTCAGCAGATCAGCCTTGTAATACAGCGAGGCAACTCAGCTAGTCTTCTGGGCACACTACCAACAGACGGCAGCTATTTAGCAAGTATATATTTTACTTACTGGTAACTGGTATAGTTGTAGCGCGAATGGGTTGGTACGACTGGGGAAGGACTACGCTCTCCGAGAATAGCAGCTTAAAATAGCAGCTTAATGCTGCCGTGATCCGTATGGTGAGTGTAGAGAACTGGAGACCCTATTTGCTGGAAACCAGACATTCCATCTTAGTCTTTACATCTGCATTTTGATTCCTAATCGAGGACAGATGTAGATGTTTTTTTTATAGAATAGGGTGACAAACGAGCACACTGTCCACCTGATGGTAAGTGGTTACTGTGACCCATAGACATCTACATCTATCCTCAATAAAGACTCAAGATGCAGATGCGTTGTCACCCGTGAGGACTAAGATGGAATGCCTCTGTGCCAGTAAAAAGGGTCTCCGGTTCTCTACACTCACAATACGAAACACAGCAGCGTTAAGCTACTATTTTACGCTGGTTTTCTGTGAGAGCGTGGTCCTTTCCCGGTCGAGCCGACCCATTCGTGCCACAACTATACTACTAATATAGCTGCAGCATGGCTTTACCACGTAAGATGTCTATGGGCTACAGAAAACACTTACCATCAGGTGGACTGTGTGCTCGTTTGTCACTCTTATTCTGTAAAAAAAAAAAAACTTTAGTTAAGCTTAACAACCGCAATAATTTTGTAAAATATTTTTTCCTTTCATTTTCATTAATATTTTAATTATAATAATTTATTATTTAATTTGATGTTTATAAGTTGTGTATTGTGTTTCTTGTTTAATAAAGTTTTATAATGATACAAACCAATATAACTAATGGAAGATAATCTGTAACAAACATATTTTTTCTTACTTTTCATAATAATAATAATAAAATATTTATTTGCATACAACACATTACATTTTTAGGTCTTATAACATAGTGTGAACATGCATGTTTTACGGATTTATCGGTATGCAAATATTACGTCGACATACAATTAGAATAATTAAAATTACAAAATTACAAAAACATTTCATATCAAATTTAAATAAAGGAGTATAATGTCAATTTTAGGACGTAAAAAAGAGAAAATTAATAAAAAATATACAGGCATGCAGGCATGGTCATGTCATAATACATAATGTCAAACTAGTATAATGTCAACCTTACAAATTCTAATTTGATTGTCAATTTAAAATTTCGAACATCAACAACAATTCGCTTGAGGTAACCGTCACGACAGAATTTGATAAATTCATTTATTTTATCTAAACAGGTTTCAATCAGCGTTCCTAAAATATGTTTTTAAAAGATTAGTTCGGAAGATTAGGTTCTTTATTCTTTAAAAAAAATTGTCGAACGCACATGCTATGAATATTTCTAGTGAAGCAAGTTAATGCTAACAATTACCAACCAGAGAGGGCTTATTCCGAATGAGGTGAATAAAAAAGCAGCTGCCTCGTCTTACACGGTTAAGAATTGTCTGAACTTTTGTAGTTTCTTGTTACGAAGGGAAAAAGCAATGTCTTAATTATTGCAAGGTATACACCTTAATTCTTATTCTTGTATCCAATCGTACAAGGCAATTCTGCTATTCAGGATAGGTACATAAGATAAGGTTATTATACACATTTTGTATCCAATTATACGATCTTGCAGCCCTGGCGTTAAAGGAATGTCGAGTTAAGAAGCGTAACTGAGGTGAATTATAATTTTATCTTTAGTATCCGACAGTTCACGAAATCATTATGAGATATAAGAGTAGAAGATTTGATTGCTCCATATGTGACTCCATGGCTATGGGAAATATTAAAAAGATCACGAATTTTTTTTCGGAAAGTGTATGCTGATGGCTCTGCGGCCTTTACAGCTTCATCGAAATAGACTCATAAGCGAGGACCTACGAGCTATCGAGTGCAACGATTCTGCCGGCCGACTGCAGTCGCGAGGCACCCCCGACCCTGATTTTGGAGTGAGGCTCCTCGAGCTAAGGGGGCTCGATGTGATTCAAGGGTCCCTCAGAAGGAGGTACGAACCTCGGCTTGAACCACTATCGAAATATGGGAAAACCGGTCGGAAAACTTAAAACGCCCCGTATCACGGGTATTGAACCTCGTGTACGGGGTGTGTCTGTAACATCCCTCTCCTCTGAAGGGGGATCAGCCTATTCCAGGAAGTGATCTCATCATCGGGATCAAGAACAACGTTCTTCGGAGGTCTCCTGGGTGCGGCAGCATCCCTTTTTGGTGAGTACGAACCCACCTATACCACCAACGGATTTCTATGCTCTTTAGTAGTATCTTAAGGATAATTCCTTAAGATACGAATGGATGATGGGCATGTCAAGATAACGGTGGAGATCTGCGTGCGTTTCTCACATATAAAGGAGCTTCTGTGATTCGTCGCAGGAATTTATTCTGAGCAACTGGAAATTGCTGAAGACGCTTTGGGGGGAGGGGGAGCAAAGGATACACCCGTGTACGTCATAGTGGAACGTACGCAGGTTTTGTAAAGATGCAGTTCGTGACTTTAGGACAGCTTACTGCTTTTATGGGTTAGTTGCGGCGACATATTATAAATTTCGCCTTATTTTTAACATTTTTAATGTGACGAAAGAAGCTAATCGCATTATCACCTTCAGGTATTTCATCTCTCTAAAGAGTTTTTCTATTATAGAGGGAGATTGTACCTGAACTGTGTCTTTTAAGTCTTTTTATAGCCAGTTTTCGTGTTAAACAAGCTTTGTTTTGTCGGGATTTAATTCTATTCTCCATTTTCTGTACAAAACACCAGCTTGGAGTTGAATACATATTCTGAACGGGCTATTATCGGACGAATATATTGTTGTATCATCTGCATATAGTGCAAAATGAGTATCGAGTATAACAGGGATATCACTCACGTAGAGTGAGACACAATTATGATAACAGATTATTAAATAAATGATTTTGTGCAAATTATGTAAATATTATTAGGTGCATAATAATTAAATATGATAATTTATCTCCAGAAAAACGTATTTATAATTATAAATGTTCCGTTGCTGTTGAACTTTGCATTAGCACAAGTCTGTACTTATGTTTGAGGAATAAACAAATAACGTAAATAAACCATGTCGGATATATCTTCACCAGAAATATAGAGTTTACTATTTTTTATTTAAAAAAAAACTCAAGACGTTTATTTTTTGATCCAAGTAAATAAAAAATAAAATAAAGAATTAATGAAAAGTCATCTTAACAGTGCACTCGGAAGATAAAGGCAATTGCCCGCGCTACAAACGTAACAAAAAGTTTAATTGTAACGCCTGTGAGACGACAAACAATTACACACTTTTTGCGATAGAAACGCTCGTATTAAGTATATACAACGTGTCCCAAAATTCAACGATAAACGGGCACCAGAGGGTGGACCTGCTCATGACCTTTGTTTACTGTGCACCGTTCCGTATTCAATTGATGTGGCTCTCGTACTAAGGACTTTTGGCTTCGCTTTTTGAACTGGTGATCTGCAGACTGAACTGACCTGGAATTATTTTGGACTGTGATTGTGTGTTTTGTGAATTGGACTATTGGCGTATTTTGAACTGTTTAGCGTTTATCATGCCGCTACCGTACACACCCTTGCTACATATATATTTATCTATGTACACACCGTTGGATTACGCTAATATCCATCTCATTTATGGAGAATGCCGATGCAATGCTAACGCTGCTAACAGATTGTATCGAGAAAGGTACCCAAATGTTCAAAGATACCCTGATTATCGAGCATTTATTAATGTGCATCAAGCGTTTGCGGAGGGTCGTTTACCATCTGCCAGGAGAAACGCTGGTAGACCTAGATTGGGACGCGATGAAGAAGTTCTCAAAGAAATAGAAAACGATTCGACTACCTCGGTACGTGCCATAGAACTAGCTATGGGAATCCCAAAAAGTTCTGCGCATCGAATTTTTAAACGTTACAGGCTTCTATCATACCACTACGGGCGTGTGCAGACGTTATTACCGCGGGACTATCCACTACGGGTCGCATTTTGCCGTATGATGCTACAAAAGCACAGGGAAGATCCCCAATTCTTGAATAAAGTTCTATGGTCGGATGAAACAACCTGCAAGAAAAATTGCTATTTAAATCTTCACAACTTACATAGTTGGAGAATGAAAATCCGCATCTGATGAGACAAGACAAATCCCAATATCAATTCAAGATTAACTTATGGACGGGCATATTAAATGGAAAAGTAATTGGGCCCCCGAGATACAAGGATACTTACATGGAAATAGTTATTTGAACTTTTTACAAAACGACTTGCCAGAATTATTAGAATACTTGCCTTTGCGTGACTTACAAAACATGTGGTTTCAAAATGATGGTTGCCCAGCTCACTATGCTCGTCTTGTGCGAGAATATTTAAACCAAGAGTACCCAGGACGTTGGATCGGGCGACTTGGTCCTATCTTATGGCCACCCCGTTCACCCGACCTAAACCCCCTGGACTTCTTTTACTGGGGTTATCTCAAAGACAGGGTTTACTCAAAACCCATTTCAACATTGGATGAGCTTCGCCAAAATATCACTCAGGCGACGGATCATATCAATGGTAGAAGATATGCACGACGAATAAAAAGATCCTTTTTAAGGCGATGCCATGCCTGTATTAATGCCGGTGGTCAACAATTCGAACATTTACTGTAATATTAATAATGCAATAAAATAAAATAAATGTAAATATTTGTACCCTTTGTTTTGATTCATGCAACATTTTTCAGCATAAATCCTGTGCCACACAGAAGTTTTTCTAGAGTATTATACCATTTTAGAATCTTGGTTAGTTGCGTCAATTTTTAAAAAAACTTGCCATAGTAGTGTCGGTTAACTATTTTTTTACACCACGATGAGTGAAAGTGGACTGAAAGTAAAAATCTTTCCAAATAATAGGGGAAAAAATAATTTTGATTAATTTTTGTGTAAAACCTAGTATGTATTCTAGGATTTATAAGGGTTGTGGTAGATAGCAGTACTACTAAGGTTGCCAATACAAAAAAAAAAACAAAAAAAAATTGAAAATGTGCTCATGGTAGTTAAAAATACCATATCGGGGTATCGATTTTCGAAGAATTTCATTTTTTTTGTAATTTCAAAAACGATTTAGATTTTTTTTCTTTTTTTTTCGAGTAGTCATGAGCAGGTCCACCCTCTGGTGCCCGTTTATCGTTGAATTTTGGGACACGTTGTATATTATACTCATATACAAGATGACGTAGAACACAAAAAATGTCTTGGACTTCTCCATAAGTAGAAATATAGAAAGTAGGGAAGCACAATGTAATACATATTGCGTTTAGTAGCGGCGAGTAAAGTTTATTTCTTTCTTTCTATAAATTTTCCAATATTATACTAAAGCCATCCAAATATATCATCGCGCGGGAATGTTTATGAAGTAAGTCTATTATTAGTTACGGTTATTATTATTCATAAAATTATATTACAAAATGGCCATATTTTAACTAATATTTTCTATATTTCACTTACTATTCTTCTATATTTCACTTACTATACTTCTATATTTTACTAATATTTCAAAAAAAGGAGAATGTCATAAACTTGACTATATGTTGTTTTGTATGTATGTTACGGAATATCTTCATAAATTAAACGATTTTTATTGTTTTTTTTTAACAAATAGTTTTTCTAATATGGAGAAAAAGTTTCATCTCCAATGGTGAATAGTTCCATTAAACACTTTATTCCCAAAAATAGTTGATAAAGTGTTTAATGGACTATTCAGACGACATTAAAAATGATAAAATAATTTCACGTCAAAAGTTAAATTATTTTATACAAATTGTTCAGGCACCATCTCCAGAATGTGATGTTTTTATTTATTTAGGTATTTGAAGTCGGCACTTTTTATTAAAACACATTACATTTTCATACAGCGAAGCGTCAAATATTTTAAAACTATTTCAAAATGTTTACATTGGTCTATGAGTAAGGGCGATTGCTAAATCGATATAAAATGTAATTTAGAATCATCTATATCCGATTTAACATTTCATGACAAGATTGATTTGATTTTCGATCGGCCATACATATTATGATAAAACTTAATAATTTTGTGTAATTGCTCAAATATTGTCTCCTCTTTTATCATAAGCTCGTACAAGTTTTTACGTAGTAGAGCCATACTGCCGCTATATTAGTAGTATAGTTGTAGCACGAATGGGTCAGCTCGACTGGGGAAGAACCACGCTCTCACAGAATACCAGCGTAAAATAGCAGCTTAACGCTGCTGTGTTTCGTTGGGTGAGTGTAGAGAACCGGAGACCCATTTTACTGGAAAAAAGGCATTCCATTTTAGTCCTTATGGGTGACGATGCATCTGCATTTTGATTCTTTATTGAGGATAAATGTAGATGTCTATGGGTCACAGCCACCACTTTCCATCAGGTGGACTGTGTGCTCGTTTGTTACCCTATCCTATAAAAAAGTCCGCAGCGGGTTATGGGCCTCTCCTGTTAGAGAGAAATTGCCTTAATCGGCACGCTTGGCAGGCAGATAGGCTATCGCAGGATCAGACTTTTGACGCTGCTGGCCGTCGCCCAACCATTCTATTGATAGCTAGGAGTTTTATATGACATTTCCTATAGTCTTCTCTTACGAAATCCATAAGACAAAAATTGTATATTCTACGCTGCGTTGAAACGAAATTACTATCAGGTGAAGAGAACTGCTATAAATCGAGGCTGATTACAAAATTAAGAAATATTACGAATATTTAATCCGTATCTGTAACTTCAAGCAATGTCATACAATCGAAAATATAAAAAAATCGTTTTTTTATAGGATAGGGTGACAAACGAGCACACAGTCCACCTGATGGTAAGTGGCTGCTGTGACCCATAGACATCCACATCTATCCTCAATAAAGAATCAAAATGCAGATGCTTTGTCACCCGTGAGGACTAAGATGGAATGCCTCTTTCCCAGTAAAAAGGGTTTCCGGTACTCTACACTCACCATACGAAACACAGCAGTGTTAAGCTGCTATTTTACGCTGGTATTCTGTGAAAGCGTGATCCTTCCCCGGTCGAGCTGACCCATTCGTGCTACAGCTATACTACTAATATAGCTGCAGCATGGCTCTACCACGTAAATTCACGGTTTATTCAGAACCTATCAGAGTTTTGATAGTAAACATTCGTAAAGAGGTTAGACGTAAAAACATTCTAGTAAATAAATTACTAGCTTTAGCTAAATAAACAAACGCTCAGAAACAATTTTTCATTTTATTAGTGGGGATTGAATTCCCCGGTCCTCGACGAATGTGATTCCACTGAGGGTTATCTCCGAGGATCGAGGACAGAATATTAAATCGACGTCTATGATGCAATGTACACTCAGATTGGGCGTTGAAAATGTTGGCGAATTTTTATGCCTCCCTTCACGCACATACACAATTATTTCCTTCGCAGCTTATTCGTATCGTATTTAAGAAAGTCACGTATATTTCCAATTACTCAGACCTTTTGCGATTTGTGCATTGATTACGGTGATTTACTTTTGTGTCAGATTGGTTTCGAAAGAAGAAATCAATGTGAGAATGATGATATCATTAAATAAAGTCTTATTCATAGACATATATATATATACATATACAAACACTCACGCTTGTTACCCAGAGGGTTAAGCAGAGATTACTGACTTCCACTATCATGATCCTGACACACCTCTTTCGCTTTCTTTATATCCCTAATTCCCTTTATATACGCATACATGCTCGTAGGTTAAGAGTACTCTCAATTTTGACAATTTCAATATATCACCAATTTGATCGATAACTTCCATCTAGGGCGCCTCTTACCAACTCTGCCATCCACTTCTACAACATGAAGTTGTCTTATCACTCTTTTCTCATTCATTCTTTCTACATGACTAAAACATTTTATACGTGGTAGAGCCATGCTGCAGTTATATTAGTAGTATAGTTGTAGCACGAATGGTTCGGCTCGACCGGGGAAGGACACGCTCTCATAGAATACCAGCGTAAAATGGCAGCTTGACACTGCTGTGTTTCGTATGGTGAGTGTAGATAACCGGAGACCCATTTTACTGGAAAAGAGGCATTCCATCTTAGTCCTCATGGGTGACGATGCATCTGCATTTTGATTCTTTAGGAGGATAAATGTAGATGTCTATTGGTCACAGCAACCACTTACCATAAGGTGGACTGTGTGCTCGTTTGTCGCCCTATCCGTTATGTGGATTTTTTTTAGTTTATAATTATCAGCTCTTATTTAAGAGTTGAATTGTATACTGAGGTAGCTTACAATTAGACTCTTATATTTTTTGAAGTCGTTTTAAAAGAGGATATGCTTTTCGTAACGTAAAGTATATTAAAATTTAAATATTTTTACAATATGAAGAAAACGGATGATTAAATAAGGGGCGGGTATCGCCGCGGCGCAGTCTCCTAGGCTCCCATAAATTACGTGAAGCAATAAAATTATAATTTTTCAACTCCTGACTTCAGAACGTGATCTCATTGAATTTATAACACCTTTGCTCCTTAACTGCAGAAGATACTCGCCAATAAAACGATAATACGGAAAATTTAACTATAAAACTTGTTAGCAGAAGGCTGCATAGATATGTGTATGAAACACTTTTTTTGCAGATTAAAGATATTTAACAAATATTTAAAAAATGTAATAAAATATTATAAATTTAATGGATTTATGAGAAAATTCGTTAAAAATATTGGATAGACTTGATTAGAGTTAAAATCCGGTGTGGTATAACTATCTTTATATACAAAAATTACGTGTCATATATGTAATTGTTTGTCCACGATGAACTCCTAAACTATTGCAATGAAATTTTGCATACTGTGTGCAGTTTGGTCCAACTTGAGAGAAAGGGTAGTTTTTATCCCTATAAGTGACCCTCTATATTTTTTACTAGCTGTTCCTCACGACTTCGCTCTCGTGTAGTTTAGGGTTTTAGTTGTTTTGCGCGGAACCCTAACTCTTTTTTAAAAATATAAGTAACCTAAGTTACTCCTTATAACATCAGCTATCTGCCAGTGAAAGTCCCGTCGAAATCGGTCCAGCCGTTTCTGAGATTAGTTGGAACAAACAGACAGACAGACAAACCGACAGACAGACAAAAATTTTAAAAATTATATTTTTGTTAAATTAGAATTAGCTTTTTACTAAATGCATACTGTCATATGCATTTAGTGAAAAGCTGTTATTTTGACATTACAAACAGACACTTCAATTTTATTTATTTGTATAGATGTATAGATTACGAATTTAAGAATTTTTATAGGACACAGGGTTGTCGGAGAGAGCAGAACGTCTGCCTGACCAGCTAGTATACATATAGAAAGATGATCACTCAACCATTAAGGTTCAAAACATATAATATCTACTTCATTTAAGGACAATTTACTTTTACTGTATAGGCAGCACTGATTCGTCAGACATGACTTGACATCAGATACACTATTCGCTGGGATGCCTTGTAGAATATTTTAGTAGTAGTTTACTAAACTCAATGTGGTATTTTATCACGAGTTCATACGTTACGATGTCGAAACCATAGTATACACATAAGTGGCCGATACACATATGTTTCTGTATTATTGGCTTTAAGACCCAAAATTAAAGGATTTGTTCCAAGTGATTGAA